GCTAAGTGATTTAACGTTGCATTTTTATTTGATTTTCCCTTTACAAACCTAATACAACATGATAGCAAGGTCAGGGCTCTGGTAGAGACAACACTTTGGTGAGGCTACGCACCCGCCTCACACTTGGTCTTCATTTGGAGCTGAGGGCTCAGTCGTTGTCTGAAGATGTTTCTGAACACCAGTTCCCTTCATCATTGTCCCGTGAAGTTACAACTACTCAGATTTTTTTCTCTGCTGGGTATTTGTAACAATGGATTGTGGTATGTGAAAGTAATTTGGTTCTGGGTCTGTGTTGGTCACCAAGTCTTTTGTTAGTAAATAAAAGTCACTTCATGGGAATTTAAATTTAATGCTGCTGTTGTGTGCCCCTGAGTAAGAAGTAACCCATAGCTGACCCTCCAGAGAGTTTTTCTTGTTGTTGTTGTTATGTGCCGTCGAGTCGTTTGCGACTCATAGCAACCCTATGTACAACAGCCCTAAACCCTGCTCTATCCTGTTCCAATCGCACTGGCTCTGACAAACCCATCCCAATTACCCAGTCACTGAATCAATTCATCTCATAGAGGGACTTCTCCTCTTGCGCCGTCCCTCCACCCTCCCAAGCATGATGTCCCTCTCCAAGGACCTGTCCCTCCTTGCAACATGCCCAAAGTATGTCAGACGAAGCCCCAGAATCCTTGCCTCCAAGGAGTAGCTTGGTTTAACCCTCTCCAGGATGAATCTGTTTGTTTTCTTGGCAGTAAGTGGTACATTCTCTACTCTTCTCCAGCACCACAGCTCAAAGGCATCAATTCTCCTTCTGTCCTCCCTAGTCATTGTCCAACTCTCTGATGCATAACAAGTGATTGAAAAGACCATTTCCTGTATCAGACGCTCCTTTGTCTCCAGAGAGACACCGTTGCTCTTGAGTACTTTAGAGAGGTCCCTAACAGCAGACTTTCCCATCGCAATACGTTTTTTGATTTCCTGGCTGCTGGTGCCAAGAGTGTTGACTGTGGAGCCGAGCAAACTGAAGCTGTGAACAATCTCAATCTCTTTGCCATCCATCCTGATGCTACCAATTGGTCCAGTGGCGAGAATCTTTGTCTTCTTGACATTGAGTTTAGTCCATACTGAAGGCTGAAGTCCTTGACCCTCTGCAGCAAGTGCATGAGGTCCTCCTCCGTTTCAGCAAGAAGGGTTGTGTCATCTGCACAACGCAGATTGTTAATAGATCTTCCACCAATTCTGACACCACAATTCTCCTCATAAAGCCCAGCCTCTTGGATAATCTGCTCTGCATACAGGTCGAAAAGGTATGGAGACAGAGTTTTTAGAGGCAGTAAATATCACTGGAAAATTTTCCAATCCTTCTCCTGCAGAGCAGCTGGTGCATTTGCACTGTGTGCCTTTTGGGATGTTTACACAGCTTGTTACCATAACTAGACCACAAGAGCTCTTTATAATGGCTTCTAAATGTGGTGATATGCCGTCGAGTCACTTGCGACTCATAGCAATTCTATGCACAACAGCTCTGAACCCTGCCCTATCTTGAGCCAACCTCCTTGCCTCTGACACACTTACCCCTACCTACTACCCCTGTCACTGAGTCACTCTATCTCATCCAGGGTCTTCCTCTCCTGCAGTGATTCCATCCTCTCACACATGATGTTCCCCTCCAAGGACTGGTCCTTGCTTGCAGAATGCCCAAAGTATGTCAGATGGAGCTTCAAAATCCTTACTTCCAAGGAGTAGCCTGGTTTCACCCTTTCCAGGACAAACCTGTTTATTCTCCTAGCAGTCTGTGGTATATTCAATATTCTTCTCCAGCACCAGTTTCAAGGCATCAATTCTTCTATCATCCTTCATCACTGTCCAGCTCTCTGGTGTGTAGCTAGTAATTGCGAAGACCATGGTCTGGATCAGACTGACATCATTGAGCTTCAGTACTCTGGAAAGGTCCCTAAGGGCAGATTTTCCCAGTGTAGTTCATCTTTTGAATTCCTGGCTGCTGGTACCAAGAGTGTAGATTGTGGAGCTAAACCGGCTGAAGCTGTTAACAATCTCAATCTCTTCAGCATCTATTATGATGCTATCAATCTGCCCAGTGGTGAGAATCTTTGTTTTCTTGATGTTGAGCTTCAATCCGTATTGAAGGCTGCAGCACCTGACCCTCCACAGCAAGCACTTCAGGTCCTGCTCAGTTTCAGCAAGCAAGGTTGCTGAAGTAGAATTATTTCTTTTTTCCTTAATAGAAAAAAATATCAACTCTAAAATTCTCCCAGGCAGTATTAGGGATATCGTTAGGTTCCATCAAGTCAACTAGGATTCACAGCGATCCTGTGAACAACAAATCTGAACCTTGTCCTATCCTAACCCATTCTCAGCATTTCAACAATCTCGAGTCCATTGCTACAGTCACAGTATCAATCCATCTTGTTGAAGTTCTTCCTCTCTTTCTCTGACCCTTTACCATCGTGATGCTTTGTAAGGACCCAGTGATTAGCAGAAGTAGGTGCAGGAGCATGGGATAAGGGGCCATGTCTAACCTGCAACTATTTGTTCGGAACTGTGGATGTTGTTGCTGGGCACAGGTCCCATCTGTAACGTTAATTGTGTTTGGACTCTGCCTTCCCCATGCTGCATTTACTCCATTTACAATGTGTCTGACCCAAACCATGGCATTTACAGTCACCTCCCATGCAAGTGAAACTTTACAGAGAAAGAATAAGGGAAAGTTAAAAAGGATTGTTGCCTTTCAACTATGGTTTGGGTGAAAATGTTTAATATAGACTTGTAGAAGGCCACATAAATCTATTTTAGAAGAAGTTCAGGCAGAGTGCTTTGTTGTTGTTGATTGCCTTTGAGTCGAGCATGATTCATGACTAAAAGGCCTAAAGCCCCTCTACAACCATCAACAGTTATCAAAGTTCATAGAGTTTCTTGAGTCATGTTATTTAGGAATTGGATGCCACTCCTGCTTCCAAACCTGTCATAGTATGTTGTTATGTGCCACTGAGTCACCTGTGATGTATAGCAACCCTATGTGCAGCAGCTCTGAACCCTTCCCTGCCCTGAGCCAGTCTCACTAATTTTGGCACACCAACCCCCATCACCCCAGTTACTGTATCAATCCATCTCATCTTAGGGTCTCCCTCTCCTGCACTGTTTGTCTACCTTTCTGAGCATGATGTTCTTCTCCAAGGACCCATCTCTTCTGGCCATTTGCCCAAAATAGGGGGGGCAGAGCTTCAAAATCCTAGCCTCCAAGGAGAGACAATGGATTTGTTTTCTTGGCAGTCCATGGCATGTTTCAAGACTCTTATCTAGCACCACAAATCGAAGGCATCTATTCTTCTGAACTGAAGATAGTGAGATTAGGCCCATTACTAAGAGGGGCTAGGTCCTGGAGGGAGCATCATAATTAGGAGAGGGTCAACAAAAAGGAAGAAAACCATCAATGAGATGAGTTGGCAGTGGCTGCAACCATGAGCTCACATATAGCAGTGACTGAGAGGCTTGCACAGAATCAGTCTGTTTTTTTCTTGTATGTACTTTTCACTATGTCCGAGTTGACTCAATAACATTTGACAAAAGATGGCAATCCTTGCTATACTTTTGAACCTGGTAAATATAAGGTCCACATTTTTCCACAATGCCTGCCATCAGCTGGGGAGAACATGAGCACCCAGTTGGAGGTGTTAAGAATGCAAGAGGTGTAGGTGAGATAAGCTTATGCAGGTAAGTGAAATATAATTTGAGGTTTTCTATAAATAACTTCAGTTTCCATATCAGTTGCTTGCTGAAACTGAAGAAGTCTGGAAAAACTTCCTGCAAAAGGTCAAGAACTGTCTTCTTCAATATGGATTGAAACTCAACATCATAAGACAAAGATTCTCATCACTGGGCCAATTGGCAGCACCATGATAGATGGAGAAGAAATTGAGTTTATTAGCAATTACAGCTTGCTCAGATCGACAGTCAATACTCTTTTTTTTTTTTTGTTTTTGTTTTTTTTTGACAGTCAATACTCTTAACACCAGCAGTCAGGAAATCAAAAGATGAATAGTACTGGGAAAAATCTGCTGTCATGGACCTCTCCAGAGTGCTGAAGAGCAATGGTGTCAGTCTAGATACAAAGGTGTGCCTAATCCAGACCATGGTCTGTCTTCTCAATTACTTGTTATGCTTCAGAGAGCTGGACAATGGCTAAGGATTACAGAAGAAGAATAGATGCCTTTGAGTTGTGGTGCTGGAAAAGAGTCTTGAACATACCATGGACTGCCAAGAAAACAAATAGATCTGTCTTGGAGAGGGTGAAACCAGGTCTTTCCTTGGAGACTAGGATTTCGAAGCACTGCCTCACTTACTTTGGGCACGTGGCCAGGAGAGATTGGTCCTTGGAGAAGGATGTCATACTCGGAAGGCTGGACAGACAGTACAGGAGAGGAAGATCCTGAATGAGATGGATTGATTCAGTAACTGGGGAGATAGTGGTTAGTGTGTCAGAATTAGCGAGACTGGTTCAGAACTGGGAAGGGTTCAGAGCTGCTTGTACATAGGGTTGCAATACATCACAGGTGACTCAATGGCACATAATAACAAAAACATACTATGAAAGGTTGGAAGCAGGAGTGGCATCCACATCCTAAAATATGCCTCTGGAAACTCTAAATTTGATAAATGTCAATAGTTGTAGAGGGACTTCAGGTGTTTTGTTCATAATGTCACTATGAGTTGTGCTTGACTTGAAGGCAATCAATAAGAGCAACGTAAATAACCAGGGAGCACAATTGGTTAGTGGCAAGAAGCTGGGCTGCAATCCTGAAGGTACATGGTTCAAATCTACCATCTGCTCCACAGGAAAAGGATGGGTAGTCTTCTCTTATGTAATTAACTGCTTCTGAAAACCCACTTCAGGGTGAGCTATGGGTCAGTTCCTCGACAGTACTCAACAACAAACAGCAATAAATAACTATCACGTACTTCTCTTTTTTTCCCCCCTCTGGGTGTCAAAATAGGAGAACTCACTGTGAAAGAACCCAAGTTTCTTGATTATGAAGTCAGAAATGAAATACAACTCATCGTGCTGGCTGAAAGAGGTGGGCAGAGAGCCTACAGCAAAATAGCAGTCTTGGTACAAGACATGAATGATAACCCACCATGTTTTAAGCAAAGTGTTTACTATGCATCGGTGCCAGAAGGTCACTTCTACAATGCTCATGTCATACAGGTAACAGGAATATAATATTAATTATTAGCAATTAATGTGCATATTGTAAAAGATTTAAGACCTTGTCTACAACATAAATGAGGTTTTACGGCTTTGCAGTGTCCCTGTACAATGTTTAATGGATTGAACGAAACCTGAAATTGGAAGAAGCATTTTTCTCCCTGAATTTAATCTTTTTCCTCTTCATTCACAGAACGTGATTACTGCCCATTCACTTCATCTAGGAACTCCCTTGAGCACTAGTTGGGCCTGTTCAGGGCACCTTCTACCTGACACTTCACTATTCTTGTTAAGTTACCATGTTGTTGGGGGTGTTAGTTGCTTTAAGTAAGTGTACGGCTGCCCTTTTTATATAGATTAGGAATGCTTCATAGAGTTTTCAGGGATATTAGCTCTTGGAAACAGATTACTGCAGTTTACTGCTGAAGTACCTCTGAGTGAGTTTGAATTGCCATTTGATTAGTTCTGGAATGCTCGGTCATTTGAATGACACGGTAGACACAGGCATTGTTGATACTCTAAAATAGTCATTGGTCTTGTATATCTACAAAAGTTTTAGGACAGAGACCCAATAGACACGGTTGTTATCGTTAGGTGCTGTCAAGGTGAGTACCACTCATTGCGACCCTATGAATGGCAGATCTGAACCCTGTCCTGTCTTGTGCCATCCTCACAATCTCTGATACACTGGAGCCCATTGCTGTAGTCACTGTGTCAATCCATCTAGCTCAAGGTCTTCCTCTCTTTCTCTGTCCCTCCCCCTTTCCAAGCATGATGTACCTCTCGAGGAACAGCCTCTCCTAGCAATATACCCAAAGTATATGAGACAAAGTTTTGTCTTTTTTGCCTCCAGGGAACATTCTGACTAAACCTTCTTCAAGACTTATCTATTTGTTCTTTTGGCAATCCATGGGATATTCAGTACTCTTCTCCAATACCACAACTCAAAGACATGCTAGACTTTATCAAACCCAGATACAGATGAGTTTCTCTTCTTGATGCTTCCAAAGGAACTTGTGAACTGTACTCTTTCTGCACTAGGTAGCTGGCTCATGTGCCCTCAGATAAGGTCTCTGGTGCCTTACTTGGGCTCCTCAGGGTCCCTGAAAATTCTACAGTGGTATGAAGGGTAGGTAGGACAGAATAGTGTCCCAGGAGAAGGATGTAGGGAGCATGACTTAAGGCCATAGAGGGTAGAAAGTACATCTCAAAGTGTGTTTGGTCATCTGTTTTTAAATAGAGTCCTGAGCCCTCAATATAATGTGTTTTGTGATTATGTAAAACTATCTGTATATTAACCTGGAGAACCATGCCAACTTTTTTTTTTTATTATTAACACTGGTTTGGTAACTATTTGAATAAATAATAAAGATTAAAATGTGCTAGCCCTAAAACTGAGTGATGTTTTGCTTTTTTAAAAGATCACTCTTTAAAATGAGACTTTAATTACCAAAAGATCTATAAGAAAAAAAAAATCTATGTATTGCCTATATTATAAGTACTTTAGAAAAAAAAGAAAAAGTATCTTTCAATATGTAAATGTTTCTTGTAATGCTTCTCTCCTTTCATGCTTCTAGCCTAAATCTAGTGGATCAATAAATATCCACTACTAGAAAGAAATCTTTCAGTCAGGCAAATTAGATATTTTTTTTGAAATATTTTTTTCTGCTGCATTAATTATAATTAAGAAACCTGTACCTCCAACTGCAAGTTGGAAATTGTTAGAATGTGTGTGCAAAATAATTTCCTTACCCTTCACCCACTTTGTTATAAAATGGAATTTTATGTTTCAGCAGTTTGTTGGGATTCTTTTAATAATTGCTTTTAAAATGAGTTTGACAATTGATGATTCTGTCATACTGCTGTATGTTGCAAATGAAATCTTTGCTTAACAAGAATTGGTTCCTCTCAGGTTTTTGCTACCGACCCAGACAGTGGGTTTAATGGCCTCCTTGAGTATTCCATTCTTTCTGGCAACCTAGGAGATGAGTTTCAGATTGATGGACTGAGCGGAGTGATAACAACAAATGCAATTCTGGATTATGAGTCTACCAGCTCCTACAGGTTTGTCCATGATTCAGATCTGTTTAAAAAACTATTCTGCCTTTTTTTTCTGATAGTATTGCTCCTTTAGGCATGATTTCCAGTTATACAGGCTTAGTTGTAAAACCGTGTTTTTTTGTTTGCTCCAATTTTTTATTATTACTTTGATGAAAATGTATAACCACTCTACAATTTCTACTTGTCCAGTTCTATGGATTCTTTACCTTATGTCACCCTTCTGTCTCTACCAGTATTTTTTTATTTTTTATGTCCCCTAAACTTCGTGTGTTTAACATTTCTGTTACCAGTTTGATCTCATAATTTTTAAAGAATGCAATGATGTAGTCTGAAATTCTTTACTAATTGAATAAATTATTTCTTAAAATTATTTCACGGCTATAAATGAGGCTCACTCTCAATGGGTAAGTTTGGATTCCGTAAAAGTTGAGGTTCTGAATTTTTTTATTCATTTGATTAATATCTATATTATTGGATGCTTCATTAAAATGTTCAGGTATGATAGCAATCATTTCTTCTGGTCTCATGGCAAAGAACGTAGAGATTGGCCCATCTTTTGTCCAATTCCAGTGTCTCATTCTTTCTCTACTTCTCTGGGCCAATAGAGAGCAATTGTTATATCTTGAGTGATCACTTTCAAGCTTTTATTTTTTTTTTACTT